CGAGCGCGCGGCTATTCCTGCACAATCTATATCTGTACGAGATCCTTCCGCCTCCCCCGGACAGCAGGGAGAGCGCCATGGACGAAGCGCAGATCCTGCGCAGGGCGAAAGAGCTGTGGGGCATGGGTGTCCATGAGAATCTTTGGGGCTCCATGTCCTACTTGTGAGTTGCGACAAAATGTGAAATAGAACTTGAATGAGAATGTGATTATGCGTTTCTGTGTATATTGAAATCTGATAGCGTTATATGAGACTGTCTACCTTTGTGTACAAATAGTTTTAGTGAATTAGAGATTGAAGATTAAATTCCAGTGTCATAGTTTGACACTCTTCCTGAGTCATCCTCGTTCCATTCTTCAAGCTGTTCAGTCCTACGGTCGCGGCTACTCAAGTTTGAATTGATTTAGTTCTGTGTTTCCTCCCCCTATGGTTTCCCTGTGTCCTCGGACTTCGATGGCGACCAGTGATTTCTGCTTGCTTATACACTCTTTGGTCGAGTCTATACCGAGAAAGCCTTCGTCTTGCTCAATACATTATCCAGTGAGTCCATATTTTCCTCGTTCCGTTTTCTCACATGTTTACGAATCAAGTCTGCTAGGTAACTGTCTCTTCTCGAGCGGAGCGATCTATAATGGAATGTAGATTCGCCGCTCGTCTCCGCGTTCGTTCGGTGCGAGTTCTCAATTCTCAATGCTCGGATTGCGAAACCGTTCGAAAACAAAAACTCGTCATTCTCATCTTTCTTTTGAGTTGCATTTGCCGCCTGAAACGCACTGAACGGTTGTGTCCTTTGGATCGTCTACGCTCGGCGATTTCGTTGAAGGTGAGTCATCGTTGAGCAGCTACCGGACAGGCGGAACGGACGCCACACAACCACACAATCATATACCGATTATGTTTCAGCCACATCTCATCATTGGATACGCGCTCAATGTTACCTTTTCCTGCTCACTTACCTGCTCACAGCGAGAAATTGAGAAAATAAACTGTTATTTAATACTGGACGAGTCACTGGCTTGAATCATCAAGACCTTATTCCGCCTGCAAAAGTTCTCAAGAATAAGTTGGCATCGTCCCAATGCAGCTGAACCAAAGGGGCTGAGTAAAACAACGTCCAGCGAGAAAAAAATACGAATCTAGCTTACAAAATGGTTTGCGCCTGCGACGGGGATGAACCTCAGTGGGCGAACCTTTAGGCCCTCTGCCTCCCACCTTTTGTAGTCTTTTTCGAGCTCCCAAATCCCCCACTGGACACTCCAGACCGACGCGAAGCCATACACGTTTCGCACTTTTATCTTAGGAAGCAGAGATTCAAGTCCAATTTCCGTGTCGGAATCAGTCTTGAAGTTTGACTGATGGTCTAGGAGAAGCGTCCCACAGGTCTGGTCGTACATGGTCTCCGCGCTCACGGAGTTCCAAAATGGTTGCTCGGAGCGGGCAGCAGGCGCAGCATCGACGCATGCGGTGAGCTCATCGGGTTTGAGAGTGTCTAGAGTGCATGGGCGCGCAGTCTCCCTCTCCGGCGTGAGGATCTGGAAGGCAGCCATGTTCCTGTCTTCATTCTGCGGGAGATCCTCAGGAGAGGCGGTTGCGTAAACAGGATGTGCGTAGTAGGATGACACCCATGTTCCAAACACGATTCCCCGCATGCGCTCAGGAATCGACGCGTCCGAGAGGGGATGATATGCACCCTCCGGAGAGGGATATCCTAAGCTACTGTAGCCGGTTTCTGCAAAAGGATAAAAGTCACCATTGAAACTAGCCTTGAGACATGCTAACCGTATATGAAGAATGTCCTTAAGTAGGGCTCAATCGCGTCGACCACATCACTCGGATACGAATCTAGATGACGAAGGAATGCCATTGCTGTCACGTTTCCCAAGGACCAACCCATCAGCGCAAGCCCACCCGCAGTTCCGTCGGGGCTGGCGCGAGGAATCTTCTTCTCCGAGATGACATAGATAAGAAAACGCGCAATCTCGAGTCCGCGTGCTCGCAAGAAGTTTACATGAGCGTTCGCGTTCTTCCCATTGACGGCTTCGAGCTCGGTCTGAGAAAATGGTGTTGAGCCGACGTAGTCTCGCCGATTGAGCGCGATGATGCGTAGATTGTATTTGTGCGCATCCGACACAAGTCTGGAGAAGTTCTCTACCAATGACTTGTCAGCATATTATCGATATGACCAAGAATGGGATGCTCACGGGCATGATATGTGTGGCCGTGGATACACACGAGTGTAGTATACGTGTCGCTGGATGGAGCTCCTGAATCTATGTACGCGAACTTCGTCCCCGACTGATCTATCTGACCTGTCTGCATTGTAAGTGACGAATGAGATCACTGAAATACCAGTAATCGGGAATTGGTCGGGAGTGTAGGCTGGATAGGCCCCGTATTTAAAGCGCGGGAGTATCCCGTGATAAACTAATCTGGCTAAAATATGTATGAACTTTCTCATGTGACCAAACCAGTAGTCGTCAGATGATGTTGAAAACATCTAGATTAAATAATGAGTGGCTTGTTCAAGTAGCTTGCCGATTGCTTGAGTGCTCGAGAGCGCCATACGTGAAGCGTCTCCACGAAGTGTATTGTTGACAATTTGTTGTCAAACAACACACTGCGCGCATCGTATACGTAATTATTGCGGAGAACAAACTTTTATTCTCAACGCCGCAGCCGCAGACGAGTCCCTCCTCACGCTGCACTCTCAACGACGCCCACAGCTCGCTAAAATCTCGAGCACTTTTATCATAACGGCATTCCCTCCAACTCCGGACCATTACTGTCAAATAGCTTGGAGATATCTAACACAATGTCTTCTCCTAATGCTAATAACAGGCGCGAAGTTCGTTTACGCTCTGGAAACATCAAAAGACGCACCGATCAGAATCAGTCGGCGTCGCCGACGCATCCCCCAAACAGCTCATGGACGAAATTTTCTCATTTCACAGAGCTTCTCAGCCTTGTCTTCATTTTCTGCCTTCCCAGTCGTCCATCTCCTCGACCCACACTTGAATCTGCCCCATTGCTTCTCATCCAGGTTTGTAAACGCTGGCGCGACGTTGCTCTATCGACACCGCGATTATGGGCAAGCCTTGAATTGAAGGCCGAGCACTCTAAGCTAAAAAGCGAGGCGATAGAGCAGTGCCACTCGGTACTGAGGCTCTGGACGCGCAGATCAGGTGCCGTTCCATTATCTTTGGTCATCATGTTACCAGTGCATGCGGATGATGACAAGGCTCTTGTGGCTCTGAGAGACTTGGTTTCTACCAGCCTTGCGCATTGCAGGCGTTGGTCTCTTATCGCTCTCCACATGGAATCACGTTGCATTGGACAGGTATACCGCGTTCTTGGTTCCCAAACTCCTCTTCTAAAATCCCTGTCTCTCATAACAATATCAAGACCATCGGAGCCTGTATCCAAAACAATTTTTTTGGACCTTACTGAGGCAAAGCAGTTGCAGAATTTGATCTTCAGAGACCGTACCGAAATACGTACCAGAATACCGACCTATAATGGAAACATTATCTTGAAGAGTTTCCCAGATTCATTGCAATCAGCCGAATTTCGCAACCTCAAAATCTCCATTTCCACTTTATCTGTCCCCTCGACACTACGCATACTTGATATCTGTGGTGCTTTTACCGCAGTTGATTTCTTATCACTCTCTTCCAGATTTCCTCGTCTCGAAAACCTTCAGCTTGAAATTCAAAATCCTGTTTATGACGGAAGCTACATGCTCGAAGAGTTGAAGAATCACAACGTCGGATTAGTTCGACTGCCTTATGTCCACACATTCATTCTGATATTTGGCATACCGTATTCTTGCCATGACAGCACAAGCATGTTGGAACATCTTTCACTTCCCTCCATTTCACACTTTTCTGTGTACTCATACCGTATAGGATTTCATAATCTGCAGGATCGTCTTTCTACAGATTCGCTCGGGACATTCCTTCTTCGCTCTCATGCCGCGCTGAAACAGCTGTTGCTCGATATGCCTTTCTCGGAGGCAGAGCTCGTAACTCTTCTTCAAAATTTGCCAACACTTGAAGAGCTATGTTTGGTCTCACGTAGAGTGGACATGTATCCAGAGCTAACAGATCGTACCCTGGCCGCACTAACCTTGAGTGGTGATTCGGTTTACGATCCTGTCTGGCCAAATCCCACATATCCTTTCTTAGGGCTGTGCCCGATTCTAAGAAAGTTCTCGGTATTGGAAATTTCGAGAGAGCCGGGAACGAATTTCTCAAGCCTTGGTGTCATCGCCATGGTGCTTTCACGCTGTGAGCCGCGCACAATAAATGGCCCGGTCCAGAGTGCTTTGACGGATTGCAAGCTACCATTGAAATCAGATGACAAGCAGCAAGTGATCTCAGATACACGAATTCAAAGGTGTATAAGCGAGAATCTCCGTCTGAGGTACCTCCTCGCAGTGATTCTTTGACTTATACTGAGCTAACCTTAAGCTCATTTGTTTTCGCAGTATAACGGTTATTTAAAATGCTGAATGCCGTTTGACGTCGATAGTCTGTTGGGATGTGACAAGGTGCCTTTGCCAATACTTGTCTGCTCGATCTCGTGCTGATTTGTGTAATAGACTTTGATCCGCTAGCCTGAAAAGCTCAAGTGATACAATGTTTTCTCCACTCCTCAGTCTTTTATGAATACGGTGAAGGCATCGTTCCGTGACTTTTCCTCCGAGATATCGCACTTTGGACTGTCTTTGGTTCGATTGCATATGGCGAGGTCAGTGTCGCATACCTTTCATTTGAAATTACCTCTTCTAAGTCATGACCACTGAACTTGACAACAGCATACGTTATCTATAATGACGGAATGAAAGAACATAGCTCGAGTCCTGGCCCTGGGACATGATCTTTGGGTTATCATCCTGTCCTTCATGTATTCCAAAAAAGTTCCAAATACAACATTGTAACCATGGTTTATCATTGTTAATGCTACTCAAGAAAACAATATGTAAAGGAAGCCAAAAACATTGCTCCAAGCAAGGGTCGAACTTGCGACTTCCAGATCACTCTTCTATGTAGAAGATCATCCCTGATGTATGAGACTGACACTCTAACCAACTGAGTTATTGAAGCCATACTCACCCATAGAATTAGAAAGTAGATGTGATTAACTTTTGCACTTTGTATTTGCCAATCGTATGACATTATTTATCGTTGGAAAATCGAACTTTCTAAACAAAGTGCTTACTCTCTAGTTTGCATAGCCGAAAGTCGTAGGTTCAACTCTCGGTTAACCAAGTGTCAATTACTTACTTTGTACATCTTACCAAATTCAATCAACTTCACGCGGCACACTGATGTGGTTCGTCTACGATACACTGTGGTTTTTCTGTAACTCTGTGGTTTTGAGAGAATTCTGTTGTGGTTTCATGGCTTGCTGTGGTTTCTTCTGTGGCTTCGCCCTCTTTACCGGTTCCTTCACAAGATGTCTATGATGTGTCATCGAATTGGACTCTGTGTTTTAGGTCACAACAGGCTCGCTTCAAACTCGGGCTCGGGCAAGAAGGGCACTTCATGGGCTTCATGAGCAGCGCGAAGAAGCCGGATATCAGCACGCCGTACGACCCCATGCACCTGACGCACGCGAGCACGGGCGAATTACCGGCCTGCCGCACGAGTGGCAGCTGCTGCTGCATGACTCGGACCGAACAGGAGAACCACGCCAGACCCCGCCGCGGGAACCACGAGCGCCGACCACGCCCCGACATGATGACTGTCAAGCCGTCAGCGGGCCCGCTGCCGCTGGTGTCGCCCCCCACGAACGGCGCCCTCCCGCCCGCCGACGGGCCCGCGCCACCCACACTAGCCGCGCCCGCGTCGACGTTCGACGCCGCGTCATGCGCAGCTACTTCCTGCTACTGCCGACCGCGCTCGGGGCGCGCCGCCGGACGAGCTCAGCGCGCAGCTCTTCGACGCCGACTTCGCCGAGCGCGTCGCGCGCTTCGCGGCCGAGGACGGCGGCCCGCTCTACGTCGTCAAGATGAAAGATGAGGTTGAAGGTGCGCGGCGCCCCGCTTTTTCCTTTCGTTGCACACTCTCGCGCACGGGCCGGCGGACGCTGACTGCTTTTCGTTTTTTTGCCCTTTTCGTTTTTGCCCCCTTTTTTTGTTCTTCGTTTTCGGCGCGCGCATAGTCGACGCGCGGCCGACACACAACTACCGCATCACCGCGTCGCCGATGTACTCGCCGGCGCACGTCACGACCATCGCGCTCGTCAAGCGCGGCGTGGCGCTCGACATGCTCGTGCCGCTCGCGCAGCAGCAGCATTTCATCAACCTGTTCAGCGGCGACGAGACGCCCTACGAGAGACTGCAGTCGCTGGCGAGCGGGGCCGTGAAGTGTTGAACGTCGGCAACCCTAGAAACCGGCTCAAGAACGCCCGATGTCCACACACTAGCGAATGAGATCTGTAAATCAGGTTGTTGCGCATAGCTTCACCATTTAGCTTGCGTTATAAATAGCAGTCAACAAGACTTTTTAACAGGAGAGGATGTACGAATACCACCGGAATCCAGACGATCAAATTGGGCATTGTGGCATACAAGTATATACTTCCCCAGTTGCGTGATTCAGAAAAGAATGTAAGGTGGTTTCAGACAGGTTCAGGATGTGAGATTACTGGATATGAAAAAATTGGCACATCGCATCATCAAATAATCATGCCGGGATCCTCCCTGTACTGAAGCGCGATTGACATTAGAATAATTGAAGAAACGCGGCGTTCGTCTCTGTGCACCGCAGTCTAATTTTGTTTTCCAGACACGCGCATTCCTCTAACCGTGATTCGAGGAAACAGGAAGACCGGGCTTACAAGGCCTCCTAGTTGATGCCGCTAACGTATATACAGATGCTTTAAGCTTCAGGAAGTGTCTTCCTGCCAGATGACCATGGCGAGGTCGACGATAACGCGATGGCATGTGGCTGGCACACGAAGTGAAAAGAGATTTGGGCTACCTTTGCTAGCTTATCCACTTTGATTGTGCGTCTTGGAGCTGAAAATTCTTCATGTGTGAAACGGGTTGAATTTTCCGAGAAGGACATTTACCATAGCTCATTCTCTGACGATATAGGCATTTATGTTCATTTTTCCGAGAAAATGGGTTTATTTCCATTCGAGCCTCAATCCAATGATTCAAGAAAGGCTTGAAGACTCGGACGTTATGTGATTGCACTATAAGACTTTCCCAACGAGAACAGTGATTAAATAATGAATGTGTGGCCTATGCTCACCTAACACAGTACAGAACATCCAATCTAAAGTCCTTGCAAGAAAGAGGGAAACATCGCGATTGAGCTCGTCTCGTATTAAGGCCCCGATAGAAAAGCCGGACTAACGTTTGATCGAACAAAGAGGAAGAACTGCCATGCTGTCTGCAAAACCACCTCGACTACTCGTCGGAGCTCAGACTTGCCGTGACACAGCTAGCTTTGACAACCTTCGTGATAATTTGCTAATCCCAAGATAGAACTTGTGTACATGCACAGGTAATCATACAGAGAACAACTGATAACCAGAGACGAAAGAAAAACCATTATTTTCAGGCATTCGAGCCGCTTTTCCGAAGCAAATTTCTCGGACGCTAAACATTTTGTAATCAGCATTTGGCGGCAGAGTTACAAACCCGATAGCAAATGCTTACGCTGGATAGTGAAGATGGCCTGCATGAAAAACCTTAGCATAGAGCCTTGCCTTTAAATCAGGAAAAGATCGATCTACCCACCTTACATTCTTTTCATCTGGTAAGTCTGGTATTTCAGCGGGAGCACCCGTCCTCGGAGACGCGTTTTCACGACCATCGTTGAATATGCTTCGTCTTCCCCAGATCAAGAATCTGATGAGCCTTGCAAGAGTGAACACCGGCCCCACAAGTAGAATCAATGCGGAAATCTGTCCAAATGTCCAAGAGCTGTCTTCCGCGCGAGAGACACCTGTAACGTTGCGGATCAAGAGCGCCTCAATGGACCAGATACTCAGTGCCAGCATTACTACGTTGAAAACCGTCACTAAGATAAGTGCACGGGTCCGCGAAGGAATGTAAGTGCTGATGGATGTGATTTGGGGAGCGAAAAGGGCGTAAAGTTTGTCCAAGCGTATGATTGCTCCCCGGCGCGCCGGAAGGATCGCATTCAGGATGGCGGCAAATGAAGCGATGACAAACATGAAACCCCAGATGGAAACTGTATGTAGATAAAATGAGAATACGTTGGTCTGTGTAAGAGCAGGCGCCACTTACAGAGGGCTATGATGAAAAACCGCATCCCTCCTAAGGGAGGCACGGACTTTCCTAGAACAACGAGCTGCATACTACTATTGAGCTCCGGACAGGCGCCGAACGACGGCGCAGTCGACCATATCCATAGGCCGAATCTGTCTAGACGAGTCAGGTGCACACATATAGCCCCTAGGAAGTTAATTTACTTACCCGACAAACACGAATCCATGAAGATGTGTCGCGAGTAAAATCTCCGATGGCATATACTCCTCACGCCAGTGCCAGAAAATGTACACCCACGACATCGCGAAAATTGGGAATGCGAGCCATGACACGACGATGACATGAAATAGCGTCAAATTCTCTCGTTGCGCAATGGCGGCAAGCTGGAGACCCAGAGAAGTGACCAGAAGGGTCCACCACGAGTCGAACGAACTGCCACCGGGCGAAAGCGCTATGGTGAAGATGGCCATGAGGAGCTGCGCGTACGTTGCGACGCGGGTGCCTATCCCTTCGATGTCAGGCCTCCCTGGTAAAGTATTGTTTTGACAAGGCGAGGACATCGTGCTCGACGACGCCGGGGATGAGATGATAGGAGGAAGAGAAATCGTCCATGATGGTTTTGGCTGGCCTGGATTCCAACAGGAGCTGTTCGGCGCTCATCAGGATAGCTGCGCCACTACATTGAAAGCCCGTCCGAGCGGAGTTTGATCCAATAAAGCCTGCTGGTTTCCTTTTCAGGCACTAATACAGTCTCTTGGCACGATGCAGTTTCACTTTCTCCGCATCGTTCGACGTCTAGCACACAATGGTGCCCAACCCGAGTGCGACGTACGCGCTGTCCGAGGCTGCAAGCGCAAGCGACGACCTAAATGATTATGATGTCGTCTCCGATCCCGACCCTCGCTCTCTCGACTCGAGCATTGCGGACCTCGACACGTCTCTTTCGGGTTCCCGGCGTCTTCGCGAACTGCCTGCGTCAGATGAAGCGAAGTCTCTATATGAGACTGCAGCGATGGATGCGGAGGATGTGCAGACGCTTGTTGACAAATCCGTCAAAGGTTATAAGAGGTCGGCAAGGAGCAGGTCCAGAGGACGCGGCGAAAGGGAGAAAACAATCAGAGTATATGTTGATGGAGTATTTGACATCTTACATGTTGGGTGAGATAATAAAATTCCATTGATTGTAAAAAAGACTAATCAAGAAGACTAGAACCGCACTGCAGCTACGTCAAGCAAAGCTCGCCTTTCCTTCTGTACACCTCCTCGTCGGTCCCTTCACCGACGTTCAATGCCGTGCACATGACATGAACACGTCCTTGCCCCATGTCGAACGCTGCGAGCTCGTGCGCCATATCCGGTGGGTTGACGAAGTCCTCTTCGATGCGCCTGTTGTGTTAGACGAAACGTTCCTCGTTCGGAATCGAATCGACTACGTCGCAGTTGAAGAGGGCAGCTCCGTTGATCCTGCTGTAAGCAAAGCGCGCCTGGCGGGATACGATCTTGTGAAAAGCATTGGTTTGTATAGATCATTGATTGACTTGAGATGCAAATTGACATATATCTTCTGTCAGGCAAGGCAATTCCAACTCGACGCACGCGGAACGTCCATACATCGGTCCAGACTTATCCTCGAGAATCAGCTGTTTCGACGCCTGCGATGCCTCCTACGAAAGAGCTTGGATGTCTCACGTTCGCTGAGCACGAGTCACCTCGAATTCCGAAGCCTGCAGATGATGAGGATACTCCGGAACCACGGGAGGATTTTGGGGCTTAATTTGACCTTCTCTCATTCACACAGGTCATCGAGATTTGCCATAGATTCGTTCTTTTCTCTTCAAGAATATCCCAACTGGCTTC